AAAGGGATTAATTATTCTTTCCTTTTCACAGATCTCTTTTTCTGTGACCAATGGTGTATTTTCAAGCGTTGACAATAAGCGCGTATGGATCAATTCGTGGACTTTCTCCTCGGTTAATGGTTTGCTTTGTGGATCGTTCGTTAACAATTCTTCCCCAAGTCCATTCGGTCCATCTTGCGGATCATTTAAATTTTCACCAATGCGATCCTGGTCATCTTGGAGAGTGTTAACATTTTCACCTTGTATGGTATTATCATCGATCAAGTCGTCTTCATCTTCGTCTGAACTTGTATTGAGAGATATTGGATCAAAATTCTCTCGACTAAGATCTTCTTCATGCTCAGGTTCAAATTCAATAGCAATATTAGCGTTTTCCATCTTGTTTTCTTTTTTCAAAAGAAGAATTAATTAAAAATAAAAACAATTTATTTCTCACTTTTAGTTTTTGTTTTTTTTTTGTTTTTTTTTTTTATTTTTTGAAGTTTTGTTGTTTTTTGTTTAACAAAAGAAAGAAAAAAAAAAGCAAACGAGTTAAAAAAAAATAAAAAGAATAAAAAGTAAAAAAAATGACTTTTGGCGATTAATTTCGCATGCTTTTATACTACACTGAAATACATAATAATAATACAACTGTACTCTCTATCGAAGAAAGTAGATTAACGGCACTACAAGGAAAATTTTTTCAAAAAAAAATCTCTAAATTTTGTATTTTTCAAATACACTCATATAATAAACATTATTATACATAACAATTTTCAATGAGGTTTACAACTTTAATAGATATTAATAGGAATTGAAAAAAAAATGAAATTTTTCAGTAATATTTTTTTCATTTTTAATTGTAAAATTTTTTGAATTTTTTAATCGACTTAGTAGAGAGATAATTTTCAAGTATTTTTTTTAATAGTATAAAAGGAAACTTATTTTTCAATTTGAAAATAGCACAAAATATTTCAATCAAAAGATATTGCTCAATTAAATTGAAAATCTGATTTTTTATCTGTTTTTTGGAATATTTTTTATCATTTTATTTTTTTTCCATGTTTGAGTTTTTTATATACGTTCCCGATTGTTTTCTGCAAATTGCTTTAACATATATTCTTTTTTTCAATCTTAATGTTCAATCAAAAATTAATTCATTTCAACTTTTTCCAATATAAATATACCCTGAAAATAGGTGTTTTTTTCAAAAGTCGGTATTTTTGAAAAGGGGGGTATTCAGATTTTCAAGAGTTTAATTGCTATCCTTTTTTTATTACATAAAATTATGATAACTTTGAAAAAATAATTTATAAAACAAGTATAACTTAAATCCAATATATAGTTTTGGCTAACTTTAATTTTAGGTATTTAAATTTTCCTTGTAGTGAGTGGAACCAAAATTTAATCTTCTTTTGAACAGATCTATTCGAAAAAAATTTTCATCATCACAACTGCAAAATAAAAAGCACTTCAATCCGAAAAAGCTATGAGAGAACGAAATTGCTTTAGATCCAACAATTTACTTATTGAATCAAAAGCAGAAAAAAAACTATTGATCTATAAAGTTCCTTTCTGAGAATACTATTCAAAAATGTGAAGTCTACGAATTTTCTGTTTAGGTTTGAGGTGCTTTGTCTCAATACTTGTTCTCAAAATATTTTCCAAAATAAAACACGTGTTTTATTTCTTAACACGTTTAATATTTTCAAAACATTATTTTTATTTGTTTGCACGCTTTATTTAAGCAACAGTATATAAAAATTAACTATTTTTTTGATTTTTGACAAAATTTTCTAATTTGATACCCTATTTTAAGAATTTTTTTTTTAAATAATTTAACTTTAAGAACCTAACATTACGTTTAATGTGCGTTTATTTGATCTGTTGTATGTGTGTGCTTTCTTTAAAAACGAATCATGCTTTTTATTTTTGAAACATGTGTTTTATACAAGCCTGCACAGATTATTCTTGACACAATAATCATAAAGATTGAGTGTGCTGTTTTTTTATGGTCCAAAAATATCTTGTAAAATTTATTCTTTTTCTCTCTTCTTTTAAATTCTGGAAAATGAAAAGGTGTGTCTGTGTTTGTTTTTCAATTTTTGAAATAAACGAAAATTTTTTATTAATTTTCAGTTTTTTTCAAAAATTAAAAAAATTATCTTAAACGTCTTTCAAGTATCGTAAAGGACCTAAGTTTTTTTTAATTTAAGAAATAAACCGAAAATTTCTGAAATTTTCAGTTTATTTCTTAAATTAAAAAAAAACCAATGGCTATCTTCTTGAGTTTTTCTGTTTTATCCGTTTAAGGACTACGTTCCCACCCTTGATGAGGTTGAGTAATTGTGTTATTTCACTTTCGCTTCTCAAAAAAAATTTTCACATCGAAGAAATTGGATAAAAAAAAAAAAAAACATTTTTTGTCATCTTTACTTTTTCACAAAGACTATTTTTCTTTGTTATTCAATGAAAAGGAAAATTGAAAATAACAAAAAAAATAATTGCAAAAAATTGTTTTTGGTGATTTTCAAGTGCATTTCAAATTTGAGAACATTTCAAACTTGTAAAAGGAAATTTAAAAAATATTTAGAACAGCTCTAGAAAATAGTGTGAGTTCTGAAAGTTGAAATGGGAATTCTAAAATATTAAAATCAAAATTTTGCATGATCTAACAAGTTAAAAATTCTGAAAATTGTTGAAATTGTGAAAATTTCACATTTTTTCTAAAAGAAATTCTCCTTGGGCAAATATTACTTGGATTACATAACGTATTAAAGGGCGATTTTATCCATTATTTCTCAGTTTTCACCTAAAAACGTAGTCCTTAAGTGTTCAAGGTTTTTTTTTTTTTTGGAGGTTTTTTATTGTATTTCGAAAATCTAGTGATTTTTGTTCGGTTTTTTTGAGTTTTCTATTTATTTAGAAAATACATCGATTTTCGTTACAGTCAGTTTCACTTTTAAGGCACAAACTTTCAACGAAATTTAAGGCACAAAAAAAAGCTCAAATTAAGGCACAAAATATGGTAATTTTTTTTTTACAATTTATTTTTACTAGAATCTGAATTTTGTGCTTTAATTTGAGATTTTTTTTGTGCCTTAAATTTCGTTGAAAGTTTGTGCCTTAAAAGTGAAATTGACTGTAGGTTTTTTTTACTTTCTGAAATAAACAGAAAATTTATTAAAATTTTCTTTTATTTCAAAAAGTAAAAAAAAAAAACTATAGCATTTCACAAATAAATAGATAACTCAAAAAAACCCAATGGAAATCTATTGATTTTCCAAATAAACAGAAAACTTAAGAAAACCTAACGGAAAATCAAACAAAAATTATTTTTTTTCAATTTAAATTCATTAATAATTCATTAAACTTCAAAATAATGTGTTCCCAATCTGGAAAATATATGTGAAATTTATAATATTTTTAAAAAGATATTATTAAATTTCAAATGCTTTTAAAATATATAGTGAACCTTTAACTATGAAAAAAAATTGTTCTTATGATTTAGTAACAAATTTAAAAAAAAATCTTAATAGAACCTTGGAAATAGGATTTTCCAACTTGTTATAAAATTGTCTTCAAAAATAATTTTTGATTAAAGATTTCGATTTACTAATGGTTATTATTATAATTGAAGTTTTAAAAAGGGAATAATTAGCAAATTGTTATTTATTTTTCGAAATTTTTTAATTATCTTAATGTGTTAAATTCTGTCAACATGGGCTATTTGTATATTTTATAAAGTTGAAGAAATACTAATATTAAAGGGTTATTGTTTAATTTCTCTTTAACTGATCATTCACTTCGTAAATTTTTTGAAAAAAGTAACACAACTTTAGATTGTAATAACATCTTTACAAACTTTCATAAGATTTAATTTTAGATTTTTCTTGATTTTCAGGGACACAATAACAAAGTTTGATAAATTTCATTTTATTGGCTCTCAACAATTCTTCAGGAATTGATTATTTAAGAACAATCTTATTCCGTTAAAATATTGTTTTTTTTTTTCCACTTTTAAAAATTTAGAAAAAATTATTTTTATCTTATTTATTCGTCTAAAAAATTAAGTCTTTTAAAGAAAAACTTTGAGAAGTAAATTGGTGCTGTCTCTTTTTGAAATTTAATTCGACTTGATAATATTTTGGAGATTAGATCTGAGTAGTGTGAAGGATTATTTTAAATAAAGCCATCGGGGGATCTTACAAACTAAAAAAAATGTCGAAATATGACATTTTTCTCTTGAGATACAAAAGAACTATTAAATTTCAATTTTTAAGAATTTTCAATTCTACACAATCAGATTCTTAATTGTTAATTGGTACTAAAAACCACATCCCAACCTTTTTGTTATAAGAATAGTATTGTCTAGTTTCCAATAAAAAGCTCTCAAAAATCAAGTTAAATCAAAAATGATTATATTGTCATTTTTAAGACCATCTTTCAATCAAGTATCTGATCTTACAAAATTTCATTTTCTTAAAAGTTCTAAATTTTAAAGTTTTTTTGGATCTCAAGACATAAAGATTCATTTCCCAATATATTAATTCCATAGATCCCCCCCCCCCTACTTGGGGGCTTTATTCGAGATAATCCTGAAGGAGAAAAAAAAAACATATTTATTGCTTTACTGGCTTTTGAATTCTAAATGGGAAAGATTTTGACTTCATTTTTTATTTCCTTTTTCAAATAACGCCACAAATTACTACTTATTTGTTTGAGTACTCTATATTTACAAAAAAGGAATCTGAGGGGAAAAAGATGTGAAAATTCTTTCCCATTTAAAATTCAAATGCCAGTATTAATTTTTATCAAGATTATAAATAATAAATTCAGATTGGAATCAGTTGATTTTTTTTTTGAGGATTCAGTATTTAACGGTGAGTACAATCTTTCGTATCTGTTTTCTTTTTTGTAATTTCTCTTTTGAAATAAAAAAATAAAAAAAAAGAAGAAAAACAAAGTTGTAGTAAATATTTTTACACTTTAATATTCAATCATTTTATAAAAATAATAAAGACCTGATAGTTTAATGGCAGAACATCTACCTGCCTTTCCTCGGAAAGGTTATCAAGTCTAAAAATTAGAAGATAAAGGTTCAATTCCTTTGAAGGTCATTTTTTTTGTTATTTAATCTTAAAATTTAAGCTCTATTACATTTTAATGTTTACGATCTTTCTAGAGTGTAAAAATATAACCTAAAGTTCGGATAAATAACTCTGTTTTTATTTTTTAGAGGACCCATCTTTAACTATATTAATTTTTAAAAAATATGTTTAAAAATGTATTTTATTGTTTTTTATCACAATAAAAATAGTACAAAAATTGTCGACACCTTTTTTACTTCAAAACACTTTATTTTTTTGAAATTTTTCAAAATTTTGAAAGAAATTACAAGATCAAAATTCACTAACTTTAATCCTGTTCTTTGAATAATAAATGGGAAAACAATTTCACTTCATTTTCCTTTTTATCTTTTTTAACAAATGAAACTTTCAAAGATAGAGATTGTAATTTGTGATCTCTCATTATTTGTTTTGCACTTTTTATTTCGATTTGATTTTTTAGGTGAACTATTGAATGCTCAATGAAATCAAGAGTCTTGAATTGAAAAAAAAAACAATCCACCAAAATTTGATCCCATTTGAAAATCAAATACCAATATAAAAGTTTTTACAAGTTAAACTATTTAAAAACATGTAATTTAAACAATTTTCCAATTTTGGGTTCTCATATTAAAAAAAATTTCAGGTTATTGAAAGCAATCCAATATCTCTCTTTTTGATAACATTCAAAAATTACAATTAAATTCCTAATGTTATCTTTTATTAATTATTATTTTTATTCCTTTTTTTTGGCTTACAAAAGTTTGTATCAAGTATTTGAAATTTCTAAAAATATGGAATAATATCAGAGACTGAAATCTTGCAGACTGCCAGTCTGATACTTCGAAAAAATCTTAAAAGTGTTTGTGTGGATTGTGTTATTACTGTTAATTGTAAAATAAATCGGACAAAATTTTCATTCATCGTTCCAAAAAAAATCTTTGAAATAATCTTTGAAAATCGAATTATTTTTCAACCATATAACGTGTTTAACGTGGCTAGAGGATCGGGACTATCAAAATTCTGTATTCCAAGGATTTTTGAAATCATAATTTAATTTTGGAAAGATGAATGAAAATTTTGTCCGATTTATTTTACAATTAATAGTATTGTAGTGACTTTTTATAACATTCACGGCAAATAACTCAAAAATTGTAGTCACTTTTTTTCCTGAGCAAAACTTTTTGTTTTTTTGAAATTATTCTATATTTTGAAAGGAATTATAAAATCACAATGCTAATAACTTTAAATTTGTAAAGTTTAAAAAGTCAAACTATTAAAAAAGATGTAATTAAAACAACTTTTCTCTTTTTGATTTACATTAAAAGAGTTTCAAGAATTGAAAGCTAACAAATATTTTTTTTTGATACTTTTAAAAATTTAAATAAATTCCGATATGTTAACTTGTGAAAATTGTTAATTTTTTTTACACTTTTTTTTTTTATAAAAGTATGTATAAAGTATTTGAAATTTGAAAGAATATTGGAAACTATCAGAAAATGAAAATTTTGATCCATTAATTTTGAAACAAAAAGTATTTACTATTATTGTCCTAATAATATGTTTAGACAAGTTTAATCGGTGTTTCAAAATAAAACACTTGTTTTTTTTTTATATAAGACCAATACATAAATGGATCTAAGAAAACGGCAATAAAACTTTATTAAATATTGTATTGGCTCCTTAAAGTGCAATTATTTTAAGAAAAAATCTTAAAATATTAGATCAAATTTGAAAATTTTTTTCAAAATATCCTTACAAAAAAACAAAAAATTTCCAAAAATGAAAAAAAGCCCAAAAATTTTCAACAAATCGCTTTTCAAATTTAAAATTTACTGAAAAAAACAAAGATTTTACCTTAAAATTGATCTAAACTTAGGGATACTACTTAGTAGCTAGTTGAATTTTACCTTTGAACAATAAGAAAACAAAAAACAGATTGTATTTGAAATACAGATTATAATCTCTTATGACGGATTATTTTGATCACTGTAAAAACACTTTCGGAAGAACTTTTTAGAAAACCCCGACTTATACATCCAGATAAAGGACATTTTAGAAGTTAATTTAGAGTGTTTTTTTTTGGACGAAAAGATAAAATGCATATAAAAAGTAAAAATTTTGAGGAAGTGATAATCTCACCAATGGTGTTGTAGGAATTGGTATCTTAGAAACATGTGAACACTTCTGACCTTGGCTATACTATATTATCAAATAGAGGAAATGTCTTTTTTAAGATAATTTCTAATTGTATATTACTGTTTCAAAAATTGAGTCTCTATTTGTGCCCTTTCAAAGCCAATTCAAAAATAGTATATTACTATCAAATCGTACACACATGTAACAAATATTGCCAATGTTACATAAATCTTGTTTTATTTAAATACTCATACCAGAAGAGATTGTGTTAATATAGCATAACCCAACCAACCATTCCAAACGTTAGGTGCTATTTTAACTAAACTCTAATATATACCCTAACAGGTAAAAACATAGCAGAATATACTCAAAATGTTACATAAAAAAAAAAAAAATATATTTTGTCTAAAAGAACAATTGTTATTTTGTCATTGAACTTTATCACCCAACTCTTTTTCTTTTTTTTAATTCTTTAAAATCACCTTAAACTCTTTTAACAATTTTTAATATTTTGATATTTTCTTTTTTGGGACAAAGTTTTCAAACAGTACACATGAGTAAAAAGTGGTGTCTTAATATTTTAAGTGTTTTGACTAAATTTGTCATTTTTCCAAAAACTATAAAACTTTTCCTATGTGCATAAGACAGTAGAGTTTTTTTGGTTGTTAACCTGAGGCTTCTAATACAAAAACACTTCCCAGTTGGGGCACATACAGTCAGTTCCACTTTTAGGGTACAAACTTGCAATGAAATTTAAGGCACAAAAAAACCTCAAATTAAGGCACAAAATTTGGAATTTTTTTTTTTACAATTTATTTTTCTAGAATCTGAATTTTGTACCTTAATTTGAGATTTTTTTTGTGCCTTAAATTTGGTTGCAAGTTTGTGCCTTAAAAGTGGAACTAACTATAGGAAAAGTTTTATGATTTTTGGAAAAATGACAAATTTTGTAAAAAAACTTAAAATATTAAGACATTGCTTTTCGTAGATATCTAGAAAATAAACAAATTGTTTTTTTTTTAAACAAATTTTTTAATATCAATGTAATCACATATTTATCATCTAACAAATCGAAACATCAATATATTAAGCCAAATTTAATGTAATATTTTTAAACTCAAGATAGATTTTAATCTTAAAGGAAGAGAAACTTTTTATTATTTTTCATAAAAAGTTAATAGAGTAATTATTTTTTACCAAGATTCGATTAAACTTGAAAAAAATACACCCAGTTCCACTTTTAATGCACAAAAATTCAACAAAATTTAAGGTACAAAAAATTTCTCAAATTAAGGCACAAAATTCAAATTCTAGTAAAATAATTTGTATAAAAAAAAATTCCAAAATATGTGCCTTAATTTGAGAAATTTTTGTGCCTTAAATTTCATTGCAAGTTTGTGCCTTAAAAGTGAAACTGACTGTAATTTAACCCCTTTTCAGAATTTCAATTAGAATAAACACTATTTCTTAATAAAGGATCTAGGATCAAAAAAATATTTTTGTAGATATTTAACAATTTAAGTTGGATAATACAATTTTTTAATAATAATTTTTCAATTTAATATTAAAAAATTTGAAAATTTTTTTCTATTAGCTAATAAGTCATTTTATTATATTATAAAATTATTTTAAATATGATGAATATCTTACAAATAGAGAATCAATTATTTTTATTATTAATGAATTATTTGTGATTTTGAATTGGAAAAAATATTTTTTTTTGATTTTCCGTTAGGTTTTTTATTAATATTTGAAATGAAGAGAAAATGTCGGAAATTGTTGGTTTATTTCAAAAAGTGAAAAAAAAAACATCTGTTAACTTTTCCAGAATTTAAAAGAATTAATAAAAATCAATTGTTTTTACTCAATTATTTTGGATTCTGGAAAACATATAAGACTTTCAATCATTATCATCAGTTCTTTTTTTTTCCCTATTTGGATTTTTTAGATGAAAAGAGTGTTTTCATGATATTTATCTATTACCTCTTGAAAAAATATCTAAAGTTGAGTTTAAAGAAAATTTATTATCACATCCATTTAAAATTTTTCTACATTAAAAGAGTACTTTTTTTCTAAACTAGAGACTTTTAAAAATCATAATAATATTAAAAACAATAAATACAGAAGTCTCAAGAATTTTAAGAACTGTAATATTGATTATATTTTGTTTAAACTTGATTAACAATGATGAAATGATAATTGAAGTTGTAGTTTTATCTAACTTTTTTTTTTTTTCAATTTTATTTTTACAACATTCCATATTTACACTTGTGTATTGGGGTGAAAAATCATTATTGAAATTCAAAGAAATAGAGTAATTCTCTTTATAAGAGCTAATAAAAAAAAATAATTAATATTTTATTCATGTTTATTAGCCAATAATCAACAATGGAAAACTAGTATATTATTTATAAAAAAACAACAAAGATTGCCACGAAATTTATATTTTTAATTGTTATAAATTATTATTTGGAAACTTAAAAGGTTTGTTATTTTACCCTTTAGAGGTCATGTATATCTTGTCGATGATTTTTTTTTTCATTTTTCAAATCAATTCTTTTGATTGAAAGAAATACAAAATAATTTGTTTGACAATTGTAAATGATTATAAAAAAATGATAAATTGAATTTAATTGAATTAAATTCTTTTAAACTGAAAAAAAATAATTAGTTCAAATTACAGACATTTAAGTTTTTGGAAATAAAATAAGAATAGAATATATATATATATATTTATATATTTGTAACTTCTTTGTTAATAATTTTTTTTGTTATTCAGAATTTTGTATTTTATCCTTGGAATTCAGATTTTTTTTTTCATTATTTGATTTTTTTAATTTAAGAATATGTATTTTTATTTTTTTTTATCAACA